GCTGCATCTCCCTCTCAGTTCCCGACCCCCGCAGCCCCTGGGTCCACGTCTCCGTTTCCCCGCGTCCCGGACCGCACCATCCTGGCGAGCGCGTCGTCCGCAGCGTCGAGCAGCCCGCGCCGCGCCGTGCCGCGCCGTGCCCCCCCGCGGGGAGCCGAGTGAAGAGTGCGAAGTGACCCGGGGCGGCGGCGGCCGGCCCGTCCCCTCCGCGTCAAGTGATATCGGGCACCGCGCCCCGACCCTGTGCCCCCCGGCGGGCCGCGCCACCCCGCGCCACGCCCCGCCACGCCGCGCCGCGCCCACCGCGGACAGACATACAAGGTTAGTGTGGCCGCGGAGTCGACTACCATCATCAGCTCAGCTGTGCAGGTCAGCGCCGCGTCCTCCCGCGCCCTGTCGCTCGCGGGCCCATCAGGTGTTGACGGTACCTCGCTACATTGTGTCGACGCCAGCCCGCTCCCGGCCGCGCCCCGCCCCCCGGGGGGAAGGGAGGACTTGTCGCCGAATTGATTTGTCTTTTTGGTGGTGAGTGTACGCCACGTCACGCAGCGCCGCACGCCGCGCTCCGCCAAGTCGATCAGTGGACCCCGCCTCCGATGACGACGTCTGCCTGGCTCACCACGCGCCACAAGCGCCGCCCGATGACAAACTTTTGCTCCCCCGCTGCCCCGCTGCAGCGGCAGCAGCCGGCGGCTGCTTTCCGCGGCCGGTGAACATGGCAAACTCTACTACGCGGATGTTCACCCCTCGCCCACCTCTCAAAACAAACGAAAACAAAATGTGCCTCACTCCGCAAATTGTGACTGTAGACTAGTTTGTTCGCGAGGACATCACAATGTTAGAAAACCCTCTTTCTAAAGCCTGCGGTGCGAGCACAACGTCGAGTCCTCGGCATGGCGTCGTGGTCCCTGTCCTCTGGCTCATACGAGCAACAGGGCGGCGTCCTCCTCTCGCTAAATGAAATGGACAGCCGGTGCGAAAATGAGACTGACAGCCTCCTCGTCATCAGTCATGTGCTGCGCCGCGGCTAGCGCGCCCCCTCGGGACCTCTGGCTCATGCATGACGGCCTGCATCGCAGAGAGCCCGCCGCACCCCGAAGCACTTAGTCCGAGGGGTGCCCAACTGTGGTAATCAGGTGTACACAGACTCGGTAATCACTGGTAATCACTGGTAATCCTCACACTCGTGAGGGTCTTTTAAAAGGACAAATTTGTTGATTTAGACATGAATTTTTGTGCACATCTTGCCTAATGCTTTCCTCCCATGGACAAAATTATGATTTGGCCAATCATAGAATGCAAATTTGTAACTTGCATGATAAAAAATTAGCAACTACCAAACAGTTGCACAGAAATATGCATTTTTCACGGAACAAAAAATGGTCGTTTCGATTTAGAATGGAGGTGGATCATACCTAGTATACATAGGTAATCTTTGGTAATCATTGGTAATCTTTACAATTTGGTAATCCGGTGTACACATTTTTATGGAGTTAGGCACCCCTCGACTTAGTCGTTATACTGCACCGTAGGCCAAGCCGCCCTGATTTTGTTCACTGTTTGATTTTGATATATTCCTGGACTGTTTCTAATACCGCGTAACGATTGTGTGTTCACAGTGGGCGGTGACGGTGACGGTCAGGATGGCCACCCGGCGCGCCGCGCCTGCCGCCGCGACGGGGTCCGCTGCCGGGCCGCCAGCGCCTCGCGGGAAGTGATACGCAACTCTGCGAGTGAACCCGAGTGAACCCCAGTGGTGTGTGAACCAGTGAAAGTGACCGCCCAGTGCAAAGTGATATTACCGACAAAGTGAGACAGTCAGTGATCGCGACACGAGCGGGCCGGTCGGCGGGATATAGTGATATGGCGAGGTGACTATGCAGCACCACTACCCTGCGTCCGAGTCTCCGATCGGCGCAGCGAGCGCGGGGCTCGACCAGGGCCTGGCCCGGGCGCCGCCGCCGCAACAGGACTGCTGCTACCCGGACTGGATGCCGAGCTTCACGTCGCCGGTAAAGGAAATGGAAGGTGAGCAGAGAATCTTTCCGAATCCGAATGGCATGGCGATCGTCCCATTCACGTCGTGTTTCGCGGCAGGTAAATATTTTAGACAGTCCCCAAGACTGTCTCTATCGGAGGGTGAAGTGCCCCCCCTCTTCCTCCCTCTCATTTTCCCCAATAGCAGAGGACCGCACAGGGCACGGGGAACGGGAGCTTGTTTCTGAGAGGGAAAAGAATCTATCGGGATGGGATTCGGTGTTTTTAGGCAGCCTTTTGAAGACCGGGTTTTAGATTATTTCGCCCTCAAATCCTCTTTTTGCCGGGAGTCGGGGGTGGGGCTAAAGGAGAGAGAAAGAGCTATTTTCATAGGACTTATTTTCCACACAGAGACAATTTAATACATTGATTCTCAGCTGATTATACAAAGGGATTTTTAACATAATGTGTTTTCGATCAAATTGCATGCCTTTCAGATCCTTATCTAAGTTCAAGTCAGGTAGGATGGTGACATTTTAAACACTATTGTCGCTAGAATTGAGGGAAATCAGGAAATCAAGATGATTTCGGCATTTCTGTGTTTCTTGAGAGTACTGTATACTTGAGAATATCTTCAATTGCACGTAACGCAAGTAGTGAGATAAGGCAGTTTAATTTGGCGGATGATCTGGAAATTTTGTTATTTTTCGCCTTAGTTTCGGAGATATGGGCGGTACTAAAGTCCGCGTTTACTCGCCCCGCGTGTAAGCCTGGCGAAGCTGACGCTAAAATAAGGACAGTACTTGATCTTCTTTAGTACGTTACGTATATCCGGCTGTCAGAATTATTTGATCATTCGGCAAATTACAAGAGCTCGGCGCCTGCGAGCCTCAGGGTAGGCCACCCCGCAGTACACGCATGCACTACAAGCAAGATGTTGCCTATCTATCAGGGGGTAAGGGCCCTCGCATGCGCGGAACTTGGCAATTTTGTGTAACGGGAGATGAGGGACGGATGAGTGGACATACTTTTTCGATGATACCATGACATATCATAAGGGGTGATGTCGAAGGCGATGTAGTGAGACCAGCGAAGCACGAGCAGCATAGGATACAGGCGAGAGGGAGAGAAAGAGTGAGGGAAAGTACGGCCGTTGGTTGGTCTGCCTACAATTTAAGTTAAAGGACGAGTTTATTCCTTAGCAAAAAATTAATTTCACCTGATTTCATTTCCATTCCGTATAGATTTTTGACACTTGCGCTCCTACCGGTTCTCGATTCCACGTAACTCCCAACTCCCATCATCCTCGTTTCCTTCATCGACGTCCACGTCCACGTCCACGTCCACGTCCACGTCCACGTCGGAGCCCCATAGGACTAGGGCCGAGCCGACCCCCCGGGACCCGGGGCGCCGGCTGCCTGGGACCTCCTGAGGCGAGGAGTGTGGCCAGTGTTACGGGAGGGTTGAGTACATCGAAGCCGGGGAGCCCGTGCCGTGCCGGGCGCGACCGTGTGTCCAAAGCCTTGTGTTTAGCCTCATAGAAACCGCACCGTTAGGAGGGGCGGGGGAGGTGGGAAAGGGGGTGGGGGCACACCACGGCCGGACCGTCTTAACCCAAATAAACACAAAGTGTGAGAAATTGCCACAAGCGCTTGGCCTCTCGCGGGCCTCTGGCCGGGCGCTGGCGGGGCGCTGGCGGGGTACTGGCGGGGCGCTGGCGGGGCGCTGGCGGGGCGCTGGCGGGGCGCTGGCGGGGCGCTGGCGGGGTCCTGGTGGAGCCCCTGCCCCCCCAGTGGTGTGTTTGTGTTATTGTTTGCCCCGGCTGGTCCGAGCGCCATTAATCTCATAAGGCGCGGGGAACTGAATTTACTGCACATCGGCCATCTTAGGCGCCGGGCCGGCACGGCCAGCGCGGTTTCCAAGGAGGCCGCCACCGGGGCCTCTATAACTACCACATTGCCCTCTGCGGCGCCAGGTTCACTCCGCCCGAGCCAATTTTAATCTTCCTCCTCTTATTTTTTTTCGGGAATATTTTACGCGATGTGAAGACCGGCGCCGCCGGCGCGCAGCTATAGATCTCCTCCAGAGCAACGTTAATCGGCACGGCATCGCTCTCAGCAGCCACAAGGAACAGCCGGGGCCTCGGCCGCAGGGCACGGCCGCTACACGGGGCGGGCGATGCATCAGGGCGTGCATCCCTGTGTCTCGGCCAACAAAACGCCTTGCTAATTGGGATCTGCCCGCGGTGGGCCCAACCCCTCCCCCTCTCCTCCCCCCTCTCCCTGCTCCCATTCCCATCTCTACATCTTTGCTCAC